GGAATGGCAAAAGGAAATTGGGTGTTTACCATGCAGCTGCTTCCTATCTTGGGGGATGAGGAGTAGTGCTAAGTCAGTCCAGCTACACACTGCACGTGTTCTCCCTTTTCAATGTTGTGTAACTAGTGCAGGTAGGCTGTGGCTGTTTAGAGGCTGCTGTGATGATGGATGTTTCTTCAGATGACTCACCCACTTCCTCCTACTCTTCCTAGCCCTTGAGATACTTTGTTCTTTGTTTTCTTAAGATCTGAACATATTTGCTACAATCAGTCAGTAGTTAAATTCAACAAATAGGATAGGGAATCCCCAAAGAAAGTTCATATCCAGTATATCTGTCCATACATTGTTTGCTTGCTTTTTCTAATTCTTCTATTTCATCTGTTTGACTGAGTGAGTGGAGAAACTGTGAGTAGATTTATTTTGTTTCAGTTCCCTTAAAGTTGTCAAAGGCAGCTCCATATCAAAAACAAGGAAACAAACGATTTTCAGAATTCATGCTGTTGGCAAATCAACTGTCATCTGATAAAGAATTCAAAATGTTGTATCTAACAAGCAGTGGAAAATACAGTTGCAATCACCACTACTGGATAGTAGGAATAATGCATTTTTAATGTCAAAAGAATATTGGTATTTCAACATGTTGATCTCTAGACAAGCTTTGGTCTAAAAATGCACCATTTATTGATTTGGGCTGATAGTGCTTTCCTTATTTTAAAATGGAACTATTTAAAAAACAGCCTTTGTGCCCAGTGATGCTTTTAATTAAGCACAAAAGAGCCTCAAAGTTGCAGAGGGGAGGGAGAAGGCTAGAATGGAACGAGTTCAGTGAAGTGTTTGTTTGAACATTAGACACCTGCATGCAGTCTGTAGGACACACTGATGATTACCAGAAAGATGATATACAGCCTGTAGAGTTCTTAAAACACAATGGTTCACTTTTGATTTTAATTTTTTTAAGTAAAAATGAGCCATTGGAAATAACCCTGGTATAAAAAATGAGCTTTGCTTGTGCATAGTATTTTAACCCTTTTGAGATTTGAAGATTAACAATATTAATCTTCTGAGTTACCCTGACACTTGGACAAGGTTCAGGTTGTTGTTCTGCATGCAGATGTTCAAGTCCCAAAAGAAAAACTGGATCCCAACTGGCTGCTGGGGAATCTCTGCTCTGGCAGCTGGAGCACCTCCTCTTCCTCCTCCTTCACCAATGTGGTGTGTGCAGGGTTACTTCACATTTTCCTCACTCCTTCCCCCTTTCTTAAATATCTGCCACCAATATGTGCTCAGCTTTGGCCTGCAGTGGGTCTGTTTTGGAGCCAGGTGGAACCAGCATTGCCTGCAAAGGCACAGCCTCTGATTTGATCTCACAGAGGTGACCCCTGAAGACTCCCAACTGCGAAGACCTTGCCGTGTAAACCCAGTACAGATGCAGGGAGATTTTTGTGTGGGGAAGCTGAGTAAAGCTGAATCTGTTAGTGTTTGCTTGTTGTACTTAGTCATAAACTGTAGCTGTCACCTCTGTACCAGTAAGTTAGACCAACTGTTTGAGCTGCCCTATGAGAAGTGAGCAGGAAGAGTGGAGTGGCTGAGATGCTGAAGAGGCCACATGGAAGCGAAGAGCAATCCCAGGGCCCTGGTTGCACAATGTGTCCATGTCTGCTGTCAGCTCATAGTGGAAAGTAGAACAGAAACTGGTGAGTGCAGGTCAGACTGGTGATGCAGATGACAGTTGCAAACTGGGTCTGCCCGTCCTCTTCTTTTTCTTGGGTTCACATTTTCCGTACTTGAAAGTCTCCTTACAACAGTGTTTCCCATTGCAGCTCTGAGGACTGTTCGTTGGGTAGACCCAGCACAGAGGCAAGTGGATGATCTGAGCAAACTTGAGGAAGACAAAAAAACAATGAGAGGGTCAGAAGCATCAAGTATCTGCCACATTAAGAAGCCCTGGTGAAGAAGGGCACTCAGCTGTGACAGGGAGGACTTTGGGGGCAGAAGTGGGAAGTGCTTCAGTACCTCTCAATACATGAAAGCACAATCTGATCTTAAGGACTTTTCCTGAGATCAGGTGGTACTAAAAGTGGCTGCACTAAAATAAAAGAGCCATGTAGCATAGTACTTTTTCTCTGACAAATTCACACTGCTGTGAGGGCAGACATTATGCCATCAAGCATTTTGTGAATGTTGCTTGATATTTAATGAAATGTAAGTGATTGTCGCATCAGTGGTAATTAGATGTCTTCAGAAGCAGAGAAAGATGTGTTTGTTATTCAAGTGGATAGAAGTGGTATCCCTTTTAAAATAGTGTGGTCAAAAATGTTCTAGTAGCAGGGTTGATTTATTTTTTTTTTCCTTTAAGTATCTGTCCAGAAGAAGCAGACAAATTGGCTTTTACTGTCTGAAGGCAGGCTCGTTTAGGAGGTAGATTCAAGGAAGGAGTGGCAATAGTGGTGATCATCTGCCTTCCCTGTGCACAACAGCAATATTGCAGCACAGTTGGCAGTTGCTGTAGTGCAAGTCACCTATCTGCACTTGGAACTGGCTGACTGACAGAAGAATAAAATGGATGTGGACCCATAACTAAGAGTATCTCTGCAGGAGGTAAGTAGGTGTAAGGTGCAAGAACAATTAGCAGATGCAACTGCAAGAATAATTAGCAAATTACCAGGAAAGCTCATGAAGCCTGGACAGTCTTTTGAAGGGTATCACATCAGAGAAAGTCTGTTCCGATTGAATGTGGGAGAGGAAGGGTGCAAAGTAGAATGCAGAAATCACTTTTGGATAAAGGCCAGCAGAGGAGAACACTTGACAGGATTTGTAGTCACTGCCTGGAGGGATTGAACATGGCCTTTTTCAAAAGCTATCAGAGGCCGAGCATCTGCAGGCCAGGTGCAACTCTTCAGCAGTTCATGGGATCCCAGTGGGAAGCAAAATGCTAGCCAGCCTTATAGCAAGGCAATGTATCCACAAATAACCTAATTCTGTCAGAGCTTAGTCTCTGGTGGCCTGAGTAATGTTCCTGACCTCCTTCACTGGGCTGCAACCTGTAACCTTTATTTTGTTTTATTTTCCTAAAGTGCTTTTATTCCTGACACCTTTTTATTGATCTTTAAGTGAAGCTGGTAGCCAGGTTTTTTAAATCCCCCTTAATGCATCTCCATGTGATAGTGATTTCAGTGAGCTGGAGTACTTAATGATACAGGAGCTCTAGAGACTCTTGGCTGATTGTAGTGCATGAGTGTAGGGAAGAGTGAAGGGATCTGGAATGCCCAAACATATAAAACTGAAAGAACTTAGTAATTGCTCGTCTGGGGCCCTGGGAAAGAGGTTTTTCTGGAGTAGAGTGGAGTGCAGTAAGGGTTTGAAAGAATGGAGGAGCTTAAAATGGGAGGGATTGGGGTATGGGGGAGGCAGAAGAGAGCCTGGAGAGAGCAGAAGACCTGTAGATTGTTTATTGGAAAGATTGAGGTGGATGAGAGGATAAGGGGAGCCTGAGGGTTGAGTGGATGGAGCTTCAGCTAAGAAGTGTTGAGAAGGCATAACAATTTTGACCACATACAGGACTACAGTAGCAGATGAGGCCGGTGATTGTCCCCTATATTCAACAATTGTGAGACCACATCTGGAACACAGTTTCCAGTTTGGGGCTCCCCAGAACAGCAGAGGCATTGATATACTGGAGAATGTTCAATGGGGGGCTATGAAGATGATTAGAGGGCTGAAGCACATGACATATATGGAGGGGCAGAGAGAACTGACGTGATTGATGTCTTCAAGTCCTTAGTGTCATGGTATAGAAAGAATGGAGCCAGACTCCTTGCACAGCTACACAGTGAAAGAGGATGCAATGGGAACAAGTTGGATTGTGGGAGATTCTGTTGAGATATTAGGAAGGCATTTTGTGTTGTTTTAAAGAAAACAACATAAAATTAGTCAGATTCTGGAACAGGTGCCCAGAGATACTGTAGACTGTTTACTTGTAATTACTCTGTTAGCTCAAGATTCAGTAGGACACAGGCTCAATCCAGTCTGGTTGGCCTTTCTTTGGCTACGAGTTTAGAATAGGTGTATTCTCTTCCAGCCTAAATGTTTCTGTGGGTTGGGGTGGGATGAGTAGGAGTTAGGGGCTGTGGTGTGGGGGGGAAAGCTGTGGAGTTGAAGTCAGGAATCAAGGTATAAGGAGCTATTAGTGAGAGGTTTGGATTATGATAGGGTCCCTGGCTTGGGAAGGAAGGCATAGAAAAATGCCTCTCCTGTCGTACTTTTTAACTCTTTCTCTTCAAATTCCTTTTTTAGCTGTTGGAAATACAGCATCTACAAGACCCAACTCATGCACCATTGAAATTGCAGCCTTCAAAATTAAATTTTAAATGCAAATATTTTTATCCTTCAGATAAAGTGGCAGAACTGGTATTCTGCAAGTTGCATTGTTGAAACTGATATATATTCTCCTTTTAAAAAAAAAAAATAGTGGTGTCACAGCATAATGCCACTATCCATTTAGATGTTTTGGTTTGAGGGGTTTTTAGGCTTTGAATAGCTGGTGCAGAATTGCATATATGCTCCTAGCTAACTCTATGCTGACATGCTGTTAAATGCACAATAATCACAGAAAGATTTTCTTCTTCTTCTATGAATGCACAGGATATTCCCAGTTTTGAGCTGCTGTCAACCTGAGCTCAGCATGACTTCAATTATTGATGTGGAACAGGCAAAGATTGTTTACCAATTGTCCAGAACTACTCAGCTGTCTGCAGTTACTTTAACTGATCTACCACAAGATTTTCCTCTTGACTGCATGTCTGAGAGGTGGAGGATAGATTTTATTTTTAATTCTTTGTCATATGTGTAACAAAAAAATGCAGTGAATATAAAAAAATCCGTTTGTTTTGTACTTATTTGTGTCTTGTAGTTTTTAGCTCCACACCTTAATCTGTAAAAAATTTCTCACAGATTATTAAGTTGTTTCTCCAAATTAATAGATCTTCTTTTGTTACTTCTAGGAAATTGAAAAATGAGCTTCTGGAAGTGAGAAGGAAAGGTGGAAACCGTCATTGTCAACAGGACAACAGCAGGGTCTGTGTTCGCTGTCAGAAAAGCCTGGGCTTGATCTTTGACAGAGGGGACTTGTGCCAAACCTGCAAACTCCGAGTTTGCAACACGTGTCGCGATGTGGGAGCCGATGGGCAGTGGAAGTGCTCCCTGTGCGCCAAGATTGTGTAAGTTGTGCAGCTTCCATTAGCGCATTAGAGGTCACTGCTGTATGAGTAAACTTGTGCTGATGTTACTGTTCTCCATTCCCTTAGCACAAAAGCATATGCGTAGCAAGTACTCAAGGGAAGAGACTTATCTGGTGGTTTTGCTTGTCGTGCTATTTTGCAGTGTCTTTTTCCCAGTTTCACACCAGTTTCAACTAACTTGCTTTCTAAAGAAAGCTGCACGCACCACGGATCCTAAGCTGCTGGGGGAAAGTGCTCTGAACATGGCAGAGGAATCAGTTGCAAGCCAATGACAGTCTATGCACATTATGAAGACATAAGTGTAACAATCAAGTAATTCAGAATTAACAAAACAGAATTAAGAACAAGTGAGGTCTGCACGTTGTGAGTGACATGGTAGGTGGATTTGTAAAGACAGAGGTGTAAAAATTGTGAGTCCAACCACTTCAGTCCATGTTTCTGTCCTTGCATTTTTCCTGTGTTAATAGTAACTAAGTATCTCTGCCTTGAGAGGGAGGTCTGTATTTATAATACCTCTATTAGTGAGCCTTCGAAGTAAATTGTGCTATGGTGGGAGGGAAAACAAGAGGATAGATCAATTTTTTCTCACTGTTGGAATATTGAGCACAGGGAATGGAGAAAGAGGGTAGCAGATCATAATACTGAAAAGCACAGAATCAGTATTCTAACACAAGATATCAACTGAATATACAAAAAGACATGTTCAAAGGTATTTACTTCATGTATTGAATCATAGAATTACTATGGTGGGAAAAGACCTTTAGGTTCATCAATTCCAACCACAAACCTAGCACTGCAAAGTCTACCACTATACCATGTCCCGAAGCATGACTTCCACATGTCTTTTAAATACCTCCAGGGATGGTGACTCCATCACTTCCCTGGACAGCCTGTTCCAATGCTTGACAGTCCTTTCAGTGAATAAAATTTTCCTAATATCCAATCTAAACCTCCCCTAGCACAAAATGAGGCTGTTTAATCTTGTTCTATTGCTTGTTAGTTCAGAGAAGAGACCTACTCCACCTTGCTACAGCCTGAAAGGGTAAGGTAGTTGTAGAGAGTGAGAAGGTCTCCCTTCAGCCTTCTTTTCTCCAGGCTTAGCATGCCCAGTTCCCTTAGAGGCTCCTCATAAGACTTGTGCTCTAGACCCTTCATATACTTGGAAGAATAGTTCTTTTGATTGATATGGTAATGTGGGATTTTGTGACTTGACTCAGTAAAATCACCATGAAGAAAAGAAGTATATTGGGCTAAAATCTCAGTTATGCATCCTGATGTAAGAACTTGATGGTATAAGAAAATGACATGATAAAACAATCACGGTAAGGGAGAAAAGAATCAGAGCCATTTCAGAGAAGGGTTCTTGTTTTGTTTGGGTCGTTTTGTGTTGGTTTTGTTTTGTTGTTGGTTTATTGTTTTGTAATGTTTTTTAACAGATCATCAAACTCATGAGAACAGGAAGATAAGACTTTTTGTAAATCATATTGGAGAGGGAACCCAGCTTTCTAGTTATGTCAGACTTGGGCTACTTAATGAAAAATTAATAGGAATAGAACATGGAGTTTTAGGATTTGGGTCTTCTAACTTTAGAAGTTTTTACCTAGATGCCTTGACCTTCTCTTCAGCCAGTGGGGCACATTCAGAGGACAGTGTCTCCCCTCGTATGATGTAACGTGTTCAACTGCTTGATTTTGTGAAATTATTTCAAACTGGCAGGGGCTTGGCTGAGTGACTTGTAGTTTGTTTCAGACAGTTCCTGAGATGATCTCACTGCTCTGCCTGTCAGAAGTCATGGGGTGCAGATGAGATGTCAGAGTGGAAAGTGGCAAACACAAGACTACTCTTAAAAAATGACAAAAGGACCTTGTCAAGTTACCTTTAATTTCTCTAAAAATTCTGAAACAAAATACTTCCATGCTGTTTGAAAGCTGAGAGGAGATGACAGGATGATGAGTAAGAGCTGGCTCAAGAACAAATAATGTCAAAACCAATTAAATTTCCTTCTTTGATAGGGTGACAGACCTTGTGAACAGAGGAGGACGTTTGTTGATGTCTCATAGCTTGGCTTAGGTGAAACTTTTGATACTTTCCCTCATGCCATTCTAATAAGCTGATAAATAGGGGGAACTATGTCCTGGAATAAATTCTGTCAGTGTGATTGCAAATCCACCTGGAAAGTTGTAAAGCTCAGTTTTCAGAGCAGCTAAGGATATTTCGCAGTCAAAAAAACCCCAAACAAGCAAACAAACAGAAACCAAACAACAAAAAAACAAAACCAGCAGTGATACAGAGAACATTTCCTGGCTTTTTATTTTTGAGTATTTTAGTTAAGAACTTTGTTGCAGCCAATGAGTTTGCCAGTTACACATGCAGGTGACATAAAACTGAGAAGTGCTGCAGGCATGTGGAAGGACAGGATAAGGATTTATAGTGATGCTTACAATTTAGAGAAGTGGTTTGAAGGAAGAGCAAGTGATGGCTCTCTATGGGCATGTGGAAGTAATACATCTGGGCAAAAATGCAGCTGCAGAAATATAGAATGAGGATAAAAGCAGCTTACACATCTGCTCCTTAGGAAAGGATCTGAGTATTGTATGAATGAAGAGCTGAACATGACTCGACAGTATTTTCCACTGTAGAAAATTCCAGCATCACACAGGGATGTACAAGCAGAATTATGGCCTGTAAAATGCATGACACAAACCTGTTTCATTTAAAGTATTATGCCCGGTTTTTTGTAGCACACTTCATGTTCGCCAGCTGGAGAAAGTTCAGCAGAAAATAATGATCACAAGCCTTGCACACAGCCTGCCCCAAGTAATAGAAGGAGATGGAAATTTTTGGCCTAGGCAAGAGAAAACTGAAAATAACTGAATTTTAAATCAACAAAAGGCACCTGCATTGAGAAGGCATACAGGCTGTTCTATGTACTCTCTTTGGATAAGAAAAGTTATGTGATACTTAAAGGATTTAACTTAGGTTGTATGAATACTGATATAACTGGGAGAGGTTTTAGAATATTTTTTTAAAACAGGTTGGATAAACCTCTCTCAGGAATGAAGACATCAGTAAAAATGGTCCTGTTTTGGGGCTGAGAGATGGATGAGGTAATTTCTCAAAACATTTATCACCCCTGTTTCTTCTGATTGGGCTGCAATCCTGTACGCCAACCTGTGGTCCTAGCAATCATCTCAAACACAGGTTCCAGTTGAAGCCTACCCTAAGTTATTATAAACCCTGGTGTAATATGTTTGCAAAATGCTAAACTTTGCAAATACTTGACTTATGTCTGTGTTGGGCATCTTTATTAAATTGAAGTATTTCTCTGTCCTTTCTTTTTGTTCATATGCAGTGTTTTTGCAAGACTATGGTGACAGTGAATGATCTGTAAAATACATTTTACACTGCTAGAACTACACAGAGACATTATCTTCTATGTGGGTGGTATGGAGATGAAAGTTTGAGATAGCTATTTTGGTTAAATTATTGTGCACAATTTTAATTATTTCAGTTCTTCTTTCCTCTGTCTCACTTCAGTAAGAAATGCAGGGGGAAAAAATTAGCCTTTTAAAATTACATTTGAAGCAGACGTTGATTAGGTTAATGTGAATAGACTGTGTCAAGATGAAAAGGCTGATGACAAGGGAAAGAAAATTGGAATTCTGTGCTAAGAGACAGTTATGTGGTGATAGTAGCAAACAAGGCAGGAGGAGCGGAAAAAACTTCTAGCTTTGTAGGATGGATCTGCACACAGTGTGTCTGTAAAACTGGATTGTTTCACCATCTTGCAAAAGTGTTAGGAAACTAACTCCATCCTTTTCTTGTAGTAACTGTGGTAAATGAGACGAGGGTAATGTTGATACCTGTATCGACTCCCATTAGTTATACTGTTATTTTAATGAACACATATGCTGTCCTATATACTGTGAGACCCTTAAAAGGCATGGAGAAGGATTTGTGGCCTTTGTGAACTATTTCCAGTTTTGGTACTACACTGGTTCTTGGCTGTTGTGCTAAAAATCTCCTCAAGAATGTTTGCTAAGTGACCATTAAGGTGATGGTGATAGGTCTAAGCTGTAGAAGTTCTGTTACATAGTAACCAGTTATACCTGCAGAAATAAGTTCAGAAACAAGTTTTTCCAAACTGTTGGCAAGCCTACTGCATTACATCTGGTGTCAGTGAAGAAGGTCGGATAATAGGTGTTGGGTCTGTCAGTCTGATGTTGGGTGTGTCCAGTTCCTGGGCCCTGAGCATAAGGATATGGAGCTGTTGGAGAGAACCCAGAGGAGGGCCATGAAGATGATCAGAGGGCTGGAGCACCTGAAGACAGGCTGAGAGAATTGGGGTTGTTAAGCTTGGAGAAGGCTCCAGTGAGACCTCATAGCAGCCTTCTAGAACCTGAAGGGGCCCACAGGAAAGCTGGGGAGCGGCTTTTTACAAGGGCTTGTAGTGAGAGGACAAGAGGTAATAGTTTTAAACTGAAGGACGGTAGATTTAGGTTAGACATTAGGAAGAAATTCTGTCCTGTAAGGGTGGTGAGACACTACAACACGTTGCCCAGGGAAGCTGGGGCTGCCCCCTCCCTGGAAGTGTCCAAGGTCAGGTTGGATGGGGCTTTGAGCAACCTGGTCTAGTGGGAGGTGTCCCTACCCCTGCAGAGGGGCTGGACATAGAGGATCTTTCAGGTCACTTCCAGCCCAACTCATTCTGTGGTTCATTTAAGGAGAAGTTGACCAGTATTATAAAAATTACTGCATAAATCCCTTGAATTACACAAATAATCCAAAATGGTTGCTGAAACAAAGAATGTCTTGTGGCAATGAAAAAAATGTAAATAACTTCAGCTGGCTTCTACCTGTTGCTTCTTTGAACACATTACCACCTTTCCTTCCTTCTGAACACCTTGAGACATGCCTACCTACCCATAGTACAGGAGTTCAGGATACCTCTAGTACAGCAAAAGGACATTCTGTCACAT